TGAATGTGGAGTCCATATTTTCTTGGCCAGGCTGGCAGCCAGAAAGCTCCAGTGATCCTTCTGTCTCTGCCTGCCTCAGAGTAGGAGTTTCAGGGGTTCACAAGACCCCTAGCTTGGTTATATTTACGCTGAGATCTGAACTCTGGTCCTCATGATTTCGCAGCAAGCCCTCTTAACCACTGAGCTGTTTCTGCAGCCCCTCACATGTCTCTTAAGTGTATTATGTTGTTTATATGAAATGAGAAGCACAGATAAAGCACTTTTCTGCATGGGATGTTTGATGTGTCTTGGGGAACAACATTTGCACAGCTGGGTCACAAGTTGAGCTAAACCTTTCTTCTCAGAGAACACCATTTTCCCCCTGGTGGGAAATAAAGTGGAGAGACGTCTCTGCGGTGGAGCCTGTGCTTGTGCAGCGTAATCCCTGCACCACAAACCCCATGGACAGAAAATGTGTCATCGTGACTGCTTTTATGTGGCCAGGTCTGATCCTGAGTATAAAATATTCACATTGTGAAATAGATCCCCAGGACATTGTCATCTTGCAGAGCTGACACTCTGTACCCATTAAATTCCTTTTTGTTCCTTCTCCCAGCATCTGATAACCATCGATCTTTCTGCTTCTGTGAATTTTTAGGGAGGTTTGTTTTTGTTTTTCTAGTGCTGGGGATTGCTCTGCTGGTTCTGTTTCTACAACACACCACACACACACACACACACACACACGTTTTAGTAAGTGCTCATGTAGCCCAGGCTATCCTCAAACTTGACATGTAGCTGAAGATGACTCTGAGTGCTGATCCTCCTGCTGGTAGGACAGGCCTGTGTCACTGTGCCCGATTCATGTGGTACTGGAGATTGAACACAAGGCTTTGTGCATGCGAGATGAGCACTTGACCAGCCGAGCTACACTCCCAGTCCCGTGTCTTTGAACTTGACAACTCTGAGTACTGACTAGAGACGAAATGTAAGTGGGAGGTCGGCTTTTTCATACGACTTTGCTTCGCTTAGCCTAATGGTCTTGTGTTCGTTTATTGAGGAGCACGCATTAGGGTTTCCCTCCTTTGGAAGGCTGAAGAATATTTCTCTGTGTGTACACCATGTTTTTTTTTTAAAAATTTATTTATTTTACATCCTGATCACAGCCTCCCCTCCCTCCTCTCCTCCCACTGCCCTCCCTTCTTCCTGTTGCTCTGCTACTCCCTCAATCCACCTCTCAGAAACGGGCAGGGAGGCCATTAAACAAGGAGCCTTTTCTGTTTATTTTCCAGATGCTCTGTGTTACGTGAGGCTTTACCCTCTACCCTTACATTCCTAGTTTGTTGAGTGTTCTTGTTGGGGGTACATGCCCCCATATTCATGTGTACAGAGTCTGGAGGCTGTCTGATTTTTTAATCACTCCCTCACCCCCCCCCCCCTTAAAGGGGTTCGTTGGCTAGGCTAGGCTGACTAATCTGAAAGCCCCAGGGATCTTCCTGTCTCGGCCCTCCAGCATTGCGAGTGTGGTAACCTCTGTGGCCTACTTGTCTTTTTCTACACTTAGCAATGCTGTTTACTTCAACGTTTATAATCCATACAATGCTCTCTTGTATGCCTGATATGGTTAGTGATGAAGGTTGTGATGAAGCCTTTATCACTTATAACCTAAAAACAATAGGGATTTCCTTCCTGTGCGGGCAGCTGTGAAGCTACCAGGGTCTAACTGCTCATCTGAAAGAAACTTGTCATCTTTCCCTTAATCAACTACTATTTCAAACTGGGAACCCAAATAGGACACGAGACAGGTCACATCGCATGCTTTTGCCCCAGTAACATAGCCCTGGGTGGCCAACTGGAGCAAATGCTGACACAGATATGTATTTTCCAGGATTTTTTGTGGCCTTGCATAGAGTGACCAAAATAGACCTCCTCTGCCAGTCCACCGGGAAGTTGGCACCTGCGAGTTGTGGCCGCTCCTCTGTTACATAAGAGAACATCCTGCAGTTTGTTTTCCAGGGATCTTCGGTGTCATTGCTGTAAAACCCCGCACCAGTGTGGAGGTCCCAGCTGTCATCTTCTCCTCTAACTTTGGAGCCATGGGGGTTGGTACCCAGAGCACCGATGGCAAGGCTGTGTTCCGAGGCAGCTGCCTGAGAGCCAGGCGACTTCGGTATGAAATTTGGTTTGGTGCGAGCTAAACCAGACAGACAGTGGAGTGCAAGACACTTTCCGCCCTCTGCCTGTGGTGGTGGGCAGACAGCAGATCTCATCTTACACTACAGTTCAACACTGTCATGTTTGAGAATTTTCTGGAGCCTTCTGAAGCACCTGTTGCAGGATATCTGTTTCAAGGTCCTTCTCCTGTCCAGTTACTACTTGGTTTTTGTTGTTGCTGTTTCGGTTTGGTTTTTTTTTTTTTCTTCCTTTCTTTCTTTAAGACAGAGTTTCATTGTATAGTCCTGGGTGGTCTGAATTTGACTGTGTAGACCAGGCTGGCCTCAAACCCACAGAGATCCACCTGTGTAGACCAGCTAGCCTCAAACCCACTTCTACCTCCTGAGTGCTGGGATTAGAGGCGTGAGCCACTGTGCCTGCACACATTTCTTTTTTAAAAATGTTTTGATAATGTGTGATGCATCCTTATTACACTATTCCAACTCCATTTCCTTTGGACACCCTCAACACCAGCTCCTCCAGTCTTTGGCCTCTTTCTCCTCTTCCTCTTCTGCTTTTTTTCCTCCTCCCATTAATTTCATTAGTACTGTCTGCACACTCACGGGCACCTTACCGGGGACCACATCTCTAACGAAAAATAGCTCCCTCTCCCCAGCAGCCATCAAATGCAGACAGCTCCTCAGCTAGAGGTGGGGCCTCCTGGGCCTTGCCACCATCCACGCTGGGATTATCGACTGGCTCGGTCTTGTGCAGGTAATGCAAGTGCAACCCGTGTGTGCTGTAGCCACAGCATGTCCCGAAGACAACACCTCCTGGCACGCCTCCTCGTCCTCTGCCTCTGCCATGCTTCTGCTCCCTACTCCTTTATACTTCCTGGGGCTTGTGAGGCTTGAGACAGACGTCCCGTGCCCAACAGTCGCTTATTCTCAGCATTTGGACCAGTTAGGGGTCTCTGTATTGACTGGTTCCCACTGGAAAAAGAAGCTTCTCAGACCAAGATTGGGAGTAGCGCTAATCTAAAGGTTTAAACAAATATTTAGAAGGCAGTTTGACAGCATGTTCATTTAGTGAAACCACATTAGTAGGTCCCCCAAGGGCCTATGACTTCCCTAACTCTGGGTTTTGGGCCAGGCTTACAGAACTAGGCACGAGTTCCCACCTACGGAGCAGTCCTCGGGAGTCAGTTGTTCAGCCCCTAACAGTCATGCCACTATTTCTCCAGTTGACACATCTTGCCTGGCAGGTTAGCTTTGTAGCGTGCAGGATCTACCGCTGGGTAAATCCACTGATGATATTTCTCCTTCAGAAGCCTGTTAAGTACTTTTTGGCATTATGAAAGCTATCCAGCAGAGAGGAAATTTCAGATTCAGCTCAATTTCTTTATGTCCTGCAACCAAAGTGTGCTTGGCAGTAAGATCTTACCATCTGATGGTTGTGTGGGAACAGCACTTGGGAATTTCTTATATAAGAAGTTCAGGCACAGCCCAAAACCCCTTGTGCCTCAGAAAATATTCTTCCTGGGCTGGGGATGTAGCTCAATTGGAAGAGTGCTTGTTTAACAGGGTTGATTGCTAGCACTGTAAAAATAGGGCATGGCGCACACACCTGGAATCCTAGCACCTGGGAGGCAAGGGCAAGAAGGTGAGGAATTCAAAATTATTCTAATTCAAAGACATTTTTGGGTACACAGTGAGTTCAAGGCCAGCATGAGCTGTGTGTGTGTGTGTGTGTGTGTGTGTGTGTGTGTGTGTGAGAGAGAGAGAGAGAGAGAGAGAGAGAGAGAGAGAGAGATTTTCTTGCCCTTTGTAGCTTATGAGAACCTTGGCATTCTTCAGATACACATCCCAGATACAATCCAAATGAGGAAACTAGGGCTTGTCCCTCCTCTTTTCTTTAAGCCAGAGTTTCTCCACAGGGCTCGCTGTGGTTAGACTTATCTGCCACCCTAATGACCCATTGTGTGTATGAGGAAGTCTCTATCTGATATCAGTATCCTCATACGCTGATGAGATTCCTGCTCTAACCCACTGACAGCCTGGCCAGGCGCCATTGTGGTGCCTGAGATGGGGCCCTGCTGATCATATCAGGTCACCTGCCCAGGAAATAATAGAGGAGGACCTGCTGAACCCCATGATTTGCTATCTAATTAGGGGGACCGAAAAAGGCTGTTCGCAAACTATTAACTCTAACAAATTGTGTGGGAGGCAACACGGGGTGCTTCAGTTAATCCTGTTCTCTTTCAGCATAGCTGAAGCCATGTACGAATGTCAGATCTGGACCCTGAGCCAGGCAGGCTAAGACCTCTTGACTGTACATGTGGAAGCCAACCCTCTTCTGTTGTTAGACAATAAATCCTAGTCCCTTTTCATACAAACTCCAAAAACTTGCTAGACAACCTTGCCAAACTCTAAATTGTGCTGTTGATTGACATATTGATTGCCAAGGCTTCTTGACTTCGATGCAGAAAGAACTGACCTCACCTATAGTCCTAGGCTAGCTCTGTAAAATCTCCGACTTTCCTTGCCGGAGGTCACCTGGGTCACACACAGTCACAGTTTTATGGAGGAAGGCCGTAGGCTTTTGGTGTAGGCAGTGGTTTCAGAGAGACCATGGACTCTGGCCCCTGTTTTTCACATTGAAGCACAATATTTGAATAACCTGAATCTGTGCCCCTAGCCATGGCCACCCATGTTTGCCTCTATTGTAAACTGTCTCAGTTCCTTGTTTGTCTTGGTACTAGCCAGCTCCTGATTTAGCCTTATTTTCAATAAATTTGTGGATTAGTTCAAACTCAGAAATGGTGAGGTAAAGGATTTTATATGGGGACCTTAGAAAATGTATTTTGAGTGTTTGCTTTGGCAGCACACATGCTAAAATTGGAACGATACAGAGAAGGTTAGCATGGCCTCTATGTAGGAATGACACACAAATTCATAAAATATTCCTGTTTTAAATATATATATATATATATATATATATATATATATATATATACACACACACATGAAGGCCTATGCCCATAATTCAAGCATTTAGGAGGTAGAAGCAGGAAGACCAAGAGTTTAAGGTCATCCTTGGCTACAGCTGTGAGTTTTAGTCCAGCACAGGCCACACAGTGGAGGTGCTGTCTAAAAAGATAAACAAAAACCATTTTCAGAACCCCTCTCTGCTTCAGGGGACGGTTACTCCTCAGAGCCTCGTCTGCTAGCTCTTCAAAAATGACACACACACATGCACACACAAAGACACACATAAGTGCACACACAATGCTCACATGTACACATAGATACGCACACGTAGGCTGCATATAAAGTACAGTAGGTAGAGCTCTTGTCTCGTGTGCTTTAAGCTGTTGGTTGGATCACCTGCACAAAACAAATCACAAAACCCAGAAATTATAATTCAGAGAGCACGGGTGTTGATAGTTAAAATCAGTGTCCTGAGGAAGGAAGGGAAGGTGGAGGGTACATTGAGCAAGCAGTGTAGAGTTTTTCACAGGAGTAAGAATTCCTGGGGCTGGAGAGCCGGCAGAGAGACGAAGGAGATTTGTTACTCTTGCAGAGGACCTTGTTTGGGCTCTTAGAATCCACACCCAGGTGGCTCGCAGTCATTTATAACTCTAGTTCCAGGGCACCTGACATTCTCCTCTGTCTTCCTTGGGCAGTCCCATGACATGGTATACATGCATACACATAAGGAAAAATAAACAAATTCCAGAAACTTTTGCTGGAGTTGAGAACAGGTGCTGGTATAAATGATAGAAGAAAAAGAAAAGTATATATATATATATATATATATATATATATGTAAAAATATAGATATATATTTGCAAAAATGTCCATAAAACAAGTTTATGACCTCAAGATCCATTCGCTTTTGTTACCTATGTGTTTGTGTGAATATGTTTCATATGCGCGAATGTGTGCACATATGTATGTATGTATGTATCTATCTATCTATCTTCTACCTAAGGTTTCTGGGAACATGTAGTCTTATTCTAGATGCTCATGTAGGGTGATTAATGTTTACCTTCCCCAACAACAGATAAATGTTGAGGGAGACTCCCCATGCAACCTCCAAAGACTATTCTGGAAAATTCTCCCAATGTTATTTTTACCCTAATTTTCCTTTTATTTTCACGTATTTCTGGGTCTCCTCCCAGACATCCTTCAGCACCACTTCCCCGTGCTTGAGAGCACCGTCAAGCTTGAGCCTTTTCACAAACAGTTGCAAGTGGAGTCAGTTTATTTGGTAGACATTGGGAGTTTGTGTATTGCCCCCCCCAAGCTCCCCATCCCATAACCTGGAGCAAGAGGCGTCCTGACTGTAGCCTTCTCAGGAGCGCTGAGTGGGATAAAAAGACAGGAAATGGGGTGGAGAGTGGGTACAGGTGTTTGCTGCCAAGCTTGATGACCTGAGTCCCATCCCTGGGGCCATGCAGGGAAAGGAGAGAACCGACTGTCAGAATCGACTGAAGCTGTCCTCTGCCCTCCATAAAATAAGTGCATTAAAATGTAATAAAAACTCCCCCCGCCTCCCCCCCCCCCAGACCGGGTTTCTCTGTGTAACAGTTCTGCCTGTCCTGAAACTTGTTTTGTAGACCAGGCTGGTCTCAAACTCACTGAGATCTGCCTGCTTCTGCCTCCCAAGTGCTGGGATTAAAGGTGTGCACCACCACCGGCCAGCATAAAACACTGTTAAGACAAGAAAAGTTGTGGAGACATGGAAGAGTCAGAGCCCCTTACTGTGGACTCTGGGATCCAGAGACTTCAAGACAAACGATAAACACAGCTGCTTATAGCGACAGTGCTTCACAGCAGGGTTGGTGCTGACCTTGAGGCGCGATGCGCGATGCTCGCGGTCTTGAGTCTGACTGTATGAGTGTTCCCTGCTCATCCCCGAACAATTCCGTCTACAAAAGGGAGTTCTTTAAGATAAAAAAGAGCTGGTTATGGTGGTGTGCGCCTTCAGTTCCGGCAGAGGCCAAGGCAGGCGGGCCTCTGTGAGCTTGAGGCTAGCCTGCTCTCCACAGTGAGTTCCAGGTCAAGCAGTCTGCAGAGGGAGAACTTGCGCACCCCCCCCCCCTCAAAACAAGGCCTGGAGGCACGGCTCAGTGGTTGAGAGTGAGTACTGGTCTTTCAGGAGACCAGCGTTCAATTCTTAGCTCTCACATCAGGCTGTAACTTAGGCTCCAGGGAGATGGGGGGAGAGAGAGAAAGAGAGAGAGAGAGAGAGAGCTAGTTCCTGTATTCATTTATTAAACATACACATATATATTAACGTTTTTCTTTATTCTTTGTGTCTTTCACAGTATGCATCTCGATCCCATTCATTTCCTGTCCCTGCCACCCGCTGCCCTTGCAGACCCCCCAAAACATGTTTTGTTTTTAGTTGTGTGAGACAGGCGCTTTGGAGCCTGTCCTGAAACTTGCTTTGTAACCAGGTTGGCCTCGAACTCATGGAGACCCACCTGTCTCTGCCTCCCGAGTGCTGGGATTAAAGGTGTGTGCCACCACCGCCTGGCTAACATTTTTTTTTTTTTTAAATACTGTATGTTCTGGCTCATCTGGAACTTGCTATATTGACCTCCAACACACAGAGATCCACCTGCCTTCCCGACTGCTGGCCTTAAAAGGGTGAATCACCATACCTGGCCAGTTCCTATATTTTTACTTAAATTTTAAAATTTGCTTAAACCTTAAGCTTCACTTAATCATTAAACCTCGTTGTGAAATTAGATCCTTTGAAAAGCAGAGCTTAGCTGCAGAGCACATCCAAGCCGTCCTGAAGATGTCGCATTGCAGCTCTGGCTGCCGCAAAGCCCTCTTATCTTGGGTGTGCGGTGTTCCTTTGCTGTGAGTCACTCTCTCTAAACATCCTGCTTAAGTGAATCGTGCACTCTCCTTATCTCCACTTAATAAGCTCGCTCACTTTGCTTCACTCCTCTCTGTTTTGAAATTCTTTTCTGCAGCGTAGGCAGGGATCTGGCTGTACTTCAGCGGAGGTCCCTGAGCAGAAAGCACCTCTGGCTTCCTATGCAGCCAGCGATGCTGGGCTGGGCCTCCCCCACTTCTACTGACAGTGCCGCACAATGTAGCGCCTCAGCCATTCCGGTCCCGGAGTCTCCACCATCTAGATAGGACCAGTCCCCCTCAAAATCAAATGCAAAAAGTGGTGGCAAACTGGAGGCCGGCAGGTCAGCCAAGCTGCACCGCAGACAAGAGGGACCGAGTGCTCCAGACATGTCTTCAAGGGTGCTGATGTGAGCTTCAGGGTGGTGGAGGGAAGGGGACGAGAAGAGTGTGTGGCCAAGCTGCCATGCTCAAGCTGTGCTCTGACTGACCACTGTGTCAGCTCTGTTTATACTGATGTTGAGGGGACAGTCACAGAGGCAGGGGAGATAGGCGTTGGGTGCTGAGGAAATGCTGCTTCGCAGAGGGATGCCTTCAGGATCTCTTCGCTTTGCTTATGTTTGTCTGTGAGTCCTGTGATCCAGGCAGTTTACATCCCGAAAGCGCAGATCCTGCAGAGATGGCACCCTCAGAAGGATGGAAGCCTGGCGCCTCTGCTCTGGCTGCCTGCTTGCTGCTGCAGGTCTGAGTGTCCACCGCACATGGAGTGTCTCTCTAACATAACTCAGTTCCCTTCAATGCTGAAGATGCCAGGAGAAGTCACTGACCTAGGCCTGCAGCTACTGTAGATTCCTTGCAGGTTGGGCCACCCCACACAAAAGGCCTGTCACCCACGAGGGTAGCTAGGAGCACACCAGAGCAGAAGGGACATCTTGTGGAAACCAGACTGGTCCCCTCAAGGGACGATGCTGCTAAAGAAGCTTTGGCCACCTTGCAGGACCAGAGTGGAGACAATCAACCAGATGACACCTTGAGTTCTTGCTCCCTGCCCCAGTGCTTCCTCCATAAAAGCTGGCGAGTGACTCCATGTAGTCAGGCTTGGCAGCAAGTGCCTTGACCCACTGAGGCATCTCAACAGCCCACTTTCTTCCTTTTTTCAGCCTAGCACCCCAGCCCAGGAGATGATACTGCTCACATTTTAATGTGGGTCATCCAGCCTCAAATTCATCACAGATGTGCCCAGAGAGCTGTCTCCAGGAGATGCGAGATTCTGTGGTTGAGAGTCAATATTAAGCCTCACTTGGTAAAGCAGGGTTTCCTTTCCATCATGGAGTCATTGCCTTCGATTATGGGAGCAGCTATATTACGGGGTGACCTATTTCCGTGGCCTTACTCTTCCTGGCAAATTTAATAACTGAAGGTTTCCTTCCCGCTGTTCTCTAGTCTGAACCAGACAAAGCTGACAGTCATAAATCTGTCAGAGATGCCTTAGCTACCCTTACCTTGTGGTCTTCAGCCTCAAAAGGGGAGGATTATTAGCTTTACATACACAACCTTAGATGGTCAACATGCTTGTGCATGGAGCTGAGCAGAAATCTGACCCAGAGTTAAAGGCACACAGACTAACACAGAATGAAGGCAGAAGGTTTATCTTGTTTCTGCTTGCTCATTGGGCATCTGCTGTCCCAAGCCTTGGTTTTTCAGCCAACATCGATTAGAAGTTTCTGTTATATCAGCTGAGGATAGAGGACATTTCTTGTCTGTTGTAACCTGGAATTTAGCTTCCACCTAAGTTGGACGAGGGGTGCTGTCTCTCCAGGAAATTCTCTTAACCGCTGAGCCATCTCTCCAGTCCAGAACTTTTATTTATCTCTTTATTTTTAAAGACAGTGTTCCCTCAGGTGGTAGCGCACGCCTTTACTCCTGGCACTCAGGAGGCAGACACAGGTGGAGCTCTGTGAATCCAAAGCTAGCCTGGTCTACAGAGTGGGTTCCAGGACAGCCAGGGCTACACAGTAAAACCCTGTCTTGGAAAACAACAACAGCAAGAAGACAGGGTCTCATAGACCTCAGCTTGCCCTTAGGTTCACTATAGTCCAGA